ATGCCCCACTATTCCCCTTTCAACACCATCCTCCCATTGCTCGATATCACCATTACTCAACATTACCCATTGCCCACCACTACGCATCACTACCCGCGACTTCGCACCACTCCCACCAGGCCTTTTTAATTTACCACCATCCCCACCATTACCCAACATTCCCGCCCAACATTTACCCATCAGCTCGCCATTCCAACCATTCACACCATTCCCCACCATTCCCCACCATTCTCTTCCCACTCTTCCCCACCCCTACCCGCCGTTACGCGCTATCCAGCTACCCACCAAGACGCATCATGATACCATTCCCACCATGACCTGCCATTTCCACGAAAACATTGCTGCCAGGCTGGCCATTCTCCCCTTCCACGTCCCCACCATACCCACCATCCCGTCACACCATTACCGACTACCCATGGCCCACCAATACACGCCAGCCCACCACTAGGTGGGACTTTACTACAACTTTATCACTTTGTAAGTTTAGGGTTCCTCTAATTTATATTGAGGAGCTAAAAGTTAGACTTTTATTGGGTGGGTTAACAGCAGACAAGATCATACACTACCACTCCCACCATGTCCATCTTGCACACTAGCCCTTAGCCCACCATTCCTGCCACTGCCTCTCAGTCCCGCCACTGCCCACCTCCTGCAATCAGGAAAAGGGCGTTTTGTTAGGGTCGTGTTGTAGAAGCTAAACTTTTTGTTGAGCCCCCTAAACCCTAAACCCTTAACCCTTATAAACCTTAAACTCTGTTTTGCACCCTAGTCCCTCCTTTATAGGCAGTTGTTCTGCTAGGGCCCCATGGTCTCCCCCTGGGCTCACCAGGCTCCAGGCTAAAGAAAAAGAACCCGTATAAGAAGATTTTAGGGTTTAGGGTTTAGGGTTTAGGGTTTAGGGTTTAGGGTTTAGGGTTTAGGGTGACTAGGAACCCTCAGATCAGGATGAGGGCACCAGGCTCAGAAACGGGCAGTTCCCTGAACCCTAAACTCTAAACCCTAAACCCTAAACGCTCAACCAATAGACATAACGGTCGTCACGTGTCTAAGGGATATTCATACATGGTCCCTCATTATGGTCCCTTACCTTCTTTAAGGGGTTCTGAAGTATGGGCCCGCGACCTACAGGGGCACATAAGAGTGCCCCAAATAAGGGCCCATGCCAAGGGACCGGAGGCTTTGACCTAGAAGCTCTTTTTGACGGAGTAAGTCTACTTCCCATCTTCTAGAAACCCTTTCAGAATCCCCATAACCCACCCTACCAACCCTACTGACTAAGTCAAAAAAAGGCTTCCAAATTTGGGAGTTTAGGAGTTTCTGAGGCTCCCTGACCTTCATCTGGCGCACCGATCTGAAGCCGCTCCTCCTGGCAATCGAGGGCGCGTCGGCCCTTCCCCTGATAGGAGCCCTGGACAAAATTAGGGTTTAGGGTTTAGGGTTTAGGGTTTGGGGTTTAGGGTTTAGGGTTTAGGTTTTAGGGTTTAGGGTTGAGGGGGTTAGGGTTAAGGTGTATTTTCCAGTCTTGTTTCCTAGCCGTCATTGTTAATCAGATGCCAGAAAAGGACCGATATGGGTGCAGGGTTTTGATGCAGGCTTTGCTGGAAGCAGTCAGAAGACTCCACATCTATCGTCTCGTGCCACGTGACCACCTGCCGTAGCCGGAAGGATTTGGGCGCAGGGTTTACGTAGTCATTGCTGCAGCCCACTTGGAGGTACATGGTACTTTATATTAAGCCAATTCTAACTGTACTTACAACCCACTGCTAAGCCCCGTATGTACCTTGATATAGTTATGAAGATAGTTCTAAGTACAGTTACCCTAAACCCTGAACCGTAAACCATAAGATGAATCTCCAAGCAGTCAGAATCCGCAAAGTTCTCGAACCTTGTCACACCCTAGGGTATAGGGTTTAGGGTTTAGGGCCTTTGAACCTGAGATAAGACCCAAGTGCCAAGCTTGCCATGAAACCCCTAGGGTCTAGGGTTTAGGGTTTAGGGTTTAGGGTTTAGGGTTTAGGGTTTAGGGTTTAGGGTTTAGGGTTTGAGGTTTAGAGTGTAGGGTTTAGGGCGTAGGGTTCGGGAACCCCATACTCGCTTGCAAGAACTCGACTCTCTTTCCGAAGCCCTGAAGCCGTAAACGCTGAGAACCCTCCTCCCCACTAGGTTTGTTGGTAACAGGCATCCGGTACTTGCTGCCATGGCTATGCGCGCGTTATATCGCTCAAAGCCCAAAAAAGTCTCTGCATCATCCTACTTGCAACTGTTGAGGGGGTGGGGTGGGGGCACCTCCCCGTTGTTAGGGTCTGGGGTGTTCGAAAGAGGAGACTGGAAAGGGTTCAGAGTTTAGGGTTTAGGGTTTATGGTTTAGGGTTTGGGGTTTCGGGTCTAGGGTTTAGGGATCAGGGGTTTAGGTGTTTGCGCGCAAAGCTCGAGGTCTCTTCCTCGTTGCAACGCGGCTGTGCTTCCACGGCGCAGCGTTGACGGAGAAGTGCCGCAATATTCCGGCACCATGCCCATAGATTTTGTTTGGGACGATGGTGAAGTTTCTATCCATAAGTGTCTTGACGAATCATACTGGTCATTTGTTTCTGTGCTGCGATGATGTCGTCCCTTTGCGCCCCAAAAAGGGCGGTAGTTTAGACGGACATCCTAAACCTGAACACCTAAGCCTAAAACCCCCTTCCCTGACTATGCGAACTCTTCCTTCGCAGGCTATGTATAGGCTAAGCTTCCTATATGCGTTACCCAATTTGGGGGTTTAAGCACAATATAGACCCCCAAATAAGTAGGATCCCCTTATAATGAGGACCAAATAATCTACCCCTAATATCGTAAACCCCCATTCAAATAGTTCTATTCAGCACGACGGACCTGCTCACGCATATTTCCTACCGAAGCCTTCCTCGATGAAATCCCTTCCGACGCCCATAGACTGGGACCCAGAGCAGGCCCTTATTCGCTTTGGGCCCCTCTAAACCAAAACGGGCACCTTTTTTTTCCGGGGTTACTCTTCGACTGGGATATACCCTAAACCTTAAACCCTAAACCCTAAACCTATAATCCCTACAATCAAGGATAACGGATTGGGGATATGATCCCTATGAAGATTGTGAGTATAAAGGGGAACATCCCAAGCAACCCCCTCCATCCTGGACAGCAACCCAAGTCCCAACCCAGATGCTTCCTGAGCCGCTGTGGCTGTTTAGGGTTTAGGGTTTAGGGTTTAGGGTTTAGGGTTTAGGGTTTAGGGTTTAGGGTTTAGGGTTTAGGGTGTAGGGTTTAGGGTGTAGGGTTTGGGGCACCCTGGACCCTATAAACCCTAAACTCACTCGTTGCTGGGTTGTGGCTTGAGGCTCTTGTGAACCAGATCCCCGGTGACGCCATCAACCCAGAGAGGCAGTACTTGGCCTCCTGGCGCGGTTTATGGTCGTTTGGGGGCGCAGGAATTAGGGCTTATATATTGGGCTAGGTTAGCCGGGGATTCTTCTGCTGTGGAAAGGATTGTGGTTCAGTAGCCCTAAACCCCAAACCCTAAACCCCAAACCCTCAACCGCAAACCCCAAGCCCCTAGACCCGAAGCCCCAAATCCCGAACCCTGGTGTCCGTTTGGCAAGGGGTTTAGGCTTGCGGTTGTTGTGGGTTTAGGGTTTAAGGTTTAGACCCTAAACCCTAAACCCTAAACCCTAAACCCTAAACCCTAAACCCTAAACCCTAAACCCTAAACCCTAAACCTCTCACACACCCCAAAGCGCCCAGAGGTCCGCTTCATCACCGACAGCGCTGCGGGATTCATCCTCAAGGGTGTGACGCTCACGCCGGCCACCTTTCAACGCCAGGTGCCGTGCCTACTACACCAGTAGGGTTTAGGGTTTAGGGTTTGGTGTTTAGGGTTTAGGGTTTAGGGTTTTGGATCCCCAAGTCCTAAAAGGCCAGTATAGCAACCCTTGTGTTCCCGCCCCCACTAGGCTGGGGCTTTGTAAGCGCGCCAAGAAAATCGTAGGTTCAGGGTTTAATCTGCGGATGCCCAGAAATCCTTATAAGCCCTAAACCCTAAACCCTGACAGCGGCGACAAGCCGCTTGAACAACGTTGGCGAGTCCTCAAGGTCCAGGCATTCGAAGATGGGATTCTTGCGAGAGTCCTCACGCAAGGGTTTAGGGTTTAGGGTTTAGGGTTTAGGGTTTAGGGTTTAGGGTTTAGGGTTTAGGGTTTAGGGTTTAGGGTTTAGGGTTTAGGGTTCAGCCTCGCATCGCCCCACACGATCTCACACACGCCCGTGCTGTTTGGCTTCGGTCACGAAGGGTTCGGGGAGCACCTGATGTGGAGTCACATTCTCAATAGTAAGGGTTAGGGTTTAGGGTTTAGGGTTTAGGGTGTAGGGTTTAGGGTTTAGGGTTTAGGGTTTAGGGTTTAGGGTTTAGGGTTTAGGGTTTAGGGAACCCTAAACCCTAATGTTGCTCCAACATCTTCATCAATTCTGCCTCCCTTGGTGACGACTTTAGTGGTCGGACGGGCGGCAACGTGTTCTCGTCTGACTTTTCCCGCACATGACGAGGCTGCGTCCCTCTCCCGCTTCAGATTTTCCTTTGCCTGTCCAAAGTTAGCTGGGAGTGCTCCGGGAAGGGCTAAATCCTTCTAATCCCCTACAATTCCCTAGAGTCAATGCAATTCCTTGTCATGCCTCTACTTTTTTTTGTAGCTGTATAAGGGTTTATAGGGTTTAGGACATCCCTAGAGGACAGCCTGATCCTTCTCCCGCTCTCGGACAGCTCCAGTTGAACCCTACACCCTACAGCCTAAACCCTAAACCCTAACCCCTGAACCCTAAACCCTAAACCCTAGACCCTAAACGTGGTAAGGGTTGGTAAGAGTGTAAGGTTCGGGGGCGATGTCACTTCTCTAAGGGCAGCCACGTGTTCCCCAAGTACGCACCCTAATATTCAATTCGGGATCCTTTATATACCCTTACATGTACCCGATTAGAAGTCTCAAGAACCCCATGATACTTCAGAACCCTTTAAGAAAGGTTAGGGGCCATCTTACCCTAAACCCTCAACCCAAAACCCTAACACACACTAAGAGACCATGTAACTTCCCTTATAGAACTTGAAGAAGGCTCGGCCCCCCTGTTCACTACCCTGCTTGTTCCTATGAAAGGGTCATGATCTTTCAGTTTCGCACTCCCCCGGGCCTACCCCCCCCCCCACCTGTGGGCAGGAAATCCCTAAATCCTAAACCCCAAACCCAAAGGCTAATCCCTTGACCTAAAAACCCTAGACCCTAAACCCTAGACTCTAAACCCCAAACCCTAAACCCTAAACCCTAAACCCTAAGCCCTACTTTAAGCCCTGGACCAACAGAAGCACGACCCAGCCGAGGTCTACTTCCTGGGGACGCTTTTCTCAGGTCTGCTCGGCGTCTTGATCCGGATCTATCTTTAAAGAATGCGTTAGGGTTTAGGGTTTAGAGTTTAGGGTTTAGGGTTTAGGGTTTAGGGGTTAGGGCCGTTAGGGGTTAGGGGTTGGGGTTTAGGGTTTAGGGGGACTCCTGACTAAACTAGGTTTAGGGAGAATGGGGTTTGGAGAAGTCTGGCCCATGCTGGTCTTACTGGTATGGCAGGATGCATGCGCGTTAATAGGGCGCAGGGTCCGGGGTTTAGCGCCCTATAAGTCCTCAACCCTAAACCCTGAACCCTAAACCTTAAACCTTATACACGTTGTTAGGAATTTCAACCCTAAACCCTGAACCCTAACCCCCATGGAGCAAGCAGATTGTTTTTAGGAGTTTGGGTTTTGGCGTTTCAGGGCTCTAGGGTTCTGTTTGAAGCTCTTAAAGCCTTACAGGGTTGAGGGTTTAGGGTACGGAGAATTCTGAGCATGGAGTTTTTACGCATTCTCAGATGGGCAGTTCAGTGAATGTTGCTCCCATTTGGTGCCTGGAATATGGGGGCCCACAAAAGGGGGCGCCAATTCGAAAACTGACCCTGTCCTACTTCCTTTGCGGCTGCCATCCCCGGAGGCGAATGTCAAAATTGGGCTGTAGCGTGTAGGGTTTAGGGTTTAGGAGTTTAGGTTTCAGGGGCAGAGGGTTTAGCAGTTTAGGGTTTAGGGTTACAACCTGCACCCTAAACCCTAAACCCTAAACCCTTCAAGTTGCTCTCTTGGGGCAACTTGTAGGCTTCTGGGGCTGAAAGCTCGGGGTGAGCGGCGGCAAGACAAGAGCAATATGGTCATGGGGTACTTGGAGGTTCATGGTACTTGTTAACCAACTATAACTGTATAGGGTTTAGGCTTTAGGGTTTAGGGTTCAAGATCGGAACCTTTTTATAGATATAGTCTTAGTCAGAGTTAGTACATTGGGCGGGGTTAATTTCTAGACCCTAAACCTTAAACGCATTGGGAAACTTGTCTCCAAGATACTCTTACTCAATTTCTGCGCAGGGCACGGTTGCGCAACATATTCTTGACACAATGACCTGCAGTCCTCTTTTGGTTGGAAATTCCTGCTGCTTGCGGTGCCAACAGTCGAAGGTTGCACAGGGACTGACAAGGGTTTAGGGTTGTTTAGGCTTTACTGCAGTTCCCTAAACCCTAAAAACCCTAAATTTCACTCGCTGGAGACAGCGAAGCCCAACTTGACATGGGCATTTCCAGAAAGTCGGGGGTACCCTTAGCAGACCCCAAAATAGTAATAACCCGTACTATCCGAACCCCCAAAACCCTAAACCCTAAACCCTAAGCCCTAAAGGGTACCCCCCATTTTCGGAAACCCCGGATCCGCAGTTTCGCCCCAAATGGGGTTACCGTTTCAAGCTTCACTTGTGGTGTGCCTGCTTTCAAGGAGTCCCGGCAATGTTGGTCGCATTGAGACCCTCAACCCCTTGCCCTAAACCCTGAAAAAAAAACACCCTAAACCCTAAACACGAAACCCTAAACCCTAAACGGCTCTAAGCCCTAAACCCTAACCCGTAAACCCGAACCATACAACCGAAGCTTGTAAGGAGAGGATATGGCTTCTATTTCAGAATTTCGTGTTCATCTAAAGGGTAGTTGTATGGCCCCTTGTGTTTTCTATCATCTAGTTTAAAGGCTTCTAAAGTCTGGGCCCTTGGGTTGTATAGTGTATATTAAGGGTATGTAAGGGGTCCCCTGATTCATGTAACTACCCGAAGACTTCAGGGCTTAGTTGGGGTGGTTTTGGGTTGGTAGGACTCAGTGTTCAGGGTCTAGGCTTAGAGGGGATGCTCTGGGCGTGTTCCTTGCTAGGTGTTTTTTGGCGGGACGCACGAAGAGGTCAGTTCTGACGCCCTAGACCCCTCTTCCCTAAGCCCTAAACCCTAAACCCTAAAGGGACCAGCTGCTTTCTACAGTGTGGGCGGGCCGATGGGGTGCAGAGGTTACACCTTGAAACGCCCCGTAGAAGCCTTAGGCTCGAAACCTGAAATCTTGATAGGGGTTGAGGGTTTAGGGTTCAGGGTTCAGGGTTTAGGGTTTAGGGTTTAGGGTTTAGGGTTTAGGGTAGCCTAAGTTGTTCCTTCTTGGGTCAGGTATAGGGGGTTTTAGTGTAGTACCCCAAAAAAGGTAGTACAAAGGAACCCTAAACCCCAAACCCTAAACACTAATCCCTAAACCATTTGGGTAAACCCTAGCCCCAAAGCTCATGGACACTTGCCCGACGCGCGACCTAGGTACCGGGAGGTCACTAGGACATCAGTGGAGCTCTGCCACGGGGGGTGGATCTAAACGATGATGGTGGTCAGGCCTAAAGCAGAAACCCCACAAGGGCTTAGGGTTTAGGGTTTAGGGTTTAGGGTTTAGGGTTTAGGGTTTAGGGTTTAGGGCTGACGGTTAACCCTCATCAGATCAACCACCTCATGGCAATTTCGTCCGGAGATGCGGCAGTCAACATCCAGCAGAGGTTGAACATGGCGCGCCTAAGAGTTCCCCATCCCAGAACCCGGAAGCCCTAAGTTCTCAGCACGAGAACAAACCCTAGGGTTGAAGGTGTAGGGTTCAGGCTTTAGGGTTTAGGGTTTAGGGTTTAGGGTTTAGGGTTTAGAGCTGAGAGATTAGGGGTTTTGGTTTTTGGTTTAGGGTATCGGCTTATTTAGGGATTTGGGCAGGACTTTGAGCTGTTCAGCGGGGGGCTGGGGGGGGGCCTCTAGCTGAACGCCTAGAACCTGAAGCTTTCGAAGTTAAGAACCACTAAACCCTAAACCCTAAACCCTAAACCCTAAACCCTAAACCCACTAAACTTCGGGGGTCTGAACATCCCCCTCAACTCTGAGGCCTCAGGGAACCGCCCTCAGGGCCGCAAGCCTTTAGGACCTCATGAGGCCTGAAGCTGTCTACCTATCACCAAAATGTGTTAGTGTCTTAGCTTTCTGGAGTCTCCGGGCTCTGGCTCTTTAAGTCTCCTGGAGCCCAGGTTTAGGGTTTAGGGTTTAGGGTTTAGGGTTTAGGGTTTAGGGTTTAGGGTTTAGGGTTTAGGGTTTAACGGAGCTTTCCTGACTTGCTAAGGACCCTCCCGCCGGGCCTGTGTATTGTAGAGGGTGACGCAACAAATTTCCTACGGTGCGTCGGGCTGGCCCGTGGACTACCTAGCACAAAATTTGGTTTGGGGCCTCCTTCCCTAATGAAATTCAACAAGGCTTTACATGGAACTGGGGGGCTTAGCTTTCCGGATTCTCCGGGCTCTGGCTCTTTAATCGTTCCTGGAGTTCAATCCCCTCAGGGCCTCAAGCCTTTTTGCGTACGCCCTTAACCCTAAACACAAACCCTTAAACAAAAGCAAACACGACCATCCGGAAAAAAAACAAAAGCTTGTGCTAGTAGCGGGTCGTCCCAACAAACGGACGTCGCGGAGTATATGTAGAAACTTGTGATTGTAGAACGCCCCGGCCAGTACCGAACCAACCAAAGCAGGTGCGCGTGGCTTTGTTTGAGGGCCTTGACGCGTAGGCCGCGCGGCTGCTGAACGTG